TGCATAGTTTCTCTTTACATATGTACAGTTCCCCTCTATACAGATGTACAATTTATTTGCACAGATGAACCGTTTCTTTGTACAGATGTACAGTTTCTCTGTACATACATGTATGTACAAAAGAAAACATGGTCGACGTGACTTAAATAAAAAAGGTATTATAGTGCCAATAGTGTAATTGATGACTTTATAGGTTATAATCGAAATGACTTAATTACCAGAATTGTACTTTTTCGCACGAATAATCTTAAACCCACTTGACTCACGGATAGTTCCGAATATATTTTCTTCGGAAGTTATCGGTAATATTTAAGTGATAAAATGAATGTGACAGTCTTTTATAATTAAGATAGTCTATTTTACTATAAACTTTTGTAATTATCAATTATTTGGTTAATTAGATAGTCAATATTTTACAATATATGTATATAGCTAATTTAACTGTTGAAAGCAGAAATTAGCATAATTTCAGTCTAAATATATAGAGACAAAAAAAACACCATTAATACAGCTCGATGTAGTAAAATCATTTCATTGCAATGCTAAGATATAACAATGCAATAAGCAATAGAGATGAAATACACGGATTGGGGCTTTCATTAGTGATATAAATAAAGGCGTATATTATATTTTTAGAATGATATGCGTTTACAAATCTTGACAAAATGTAATTCTTCAATAATTCTGGACAAAGCATTGTTTTCAAACAAAATTTGTTTTAAATAAATCGTTAGTTAACTAACTTTATTAATAGTTTATTAGTTCTTAATCATTAATAGTCACAACACCTTAATCACTGCAACCATCATTTCATATTTGGTTTATACAGAATTTATTTTAGTTCGACTGTGTATGAAGCTATAAGCTTATAGACACACTTTCGAATCCGTTCATTGAAACAACCAGTACTGAGCAATGAGTGTAAATATTCTTGCTCAAGGAAACAACGACTTACCCCTCAAGTGATTTGAACCCATGCAGCTAGCCATCATTAGATTACTTGTCCGAAGCGTTAACCACTCGGCCATGCCGCCACATAATTGTTGATTGAACTCAAATCAACAGCATCACCGAGAACATAATAATACGAGCCAGTATCCTCGTAAAAGTTTTCTGCAAATTGTATATTCTCAACCCTGGGTCTGAGTCACTTTTAACTATTGAAGGGTAGTAATTCTGCACTTTTTAATTTCTCTCGTGAACAAACTCAATAAAACCAAATTCAAAAGGAATCTTGCATTGGCCAAGTGTTTATTGTATCAACTGATGTCATGTGTTGTGTGTCAACTTTAAGAAAAGTTGATTCTCAATGAATTGATAATTTGATATATCTTTCTGATTCCCCGGAATCATTGATTTTAATGCTTAAGTGTTAATACATGTTTAAGTTTGAGTTTAAGTTAAATTGGTTAAGTCAGTGTTCGTTAAAGCGGTAAAGTATGTGTTAATTAAATGTGTTTTAATAGTGATGTGATTGTACAGGTCATTATCTCTCATGCATATTTTATTTAAATTCCTTGCTTTTAATGGATCGCCTTTTTTCTGAATATTCGTTAGTCGTTCAGTTCCTCACATCAATACCAATATCCCGCATGGCCATAAAGATATTTCTGTCCTGTACAGAATATCCTTTGTTTACTAAACATATTTCATTTATCAAAAAACAAATATTTAAACTGATTTTACCCTTTCTTCGCTTTAAGCTATACGTCTTTCATTGATTTTAGTTCAATTGTTTGCAAAAGTTCTTACGTGGAAATGTTTATATATAACACTTGTAATTCTTTCACCATTAACAACAAGAGCTCACCTCCCACGATATCCCGCAAAGTTCTAGTAAAAAGAGTTCGATATGAATCATACCCAAGCTGGTGAAATGTAACAAACAGAATAAATATGTTTCAACTAAAAAGATGCTCCAAATGACCCCACTTATATAACAAGAAGTATATTTACTACAATACTATAATACAATTACAGTCTGTCGCAGTCTCATTTATGAGCAAGCATTGTTGCCAAAATAGGTACAAATTCGTAAAGAAAACAATGATTCCAGTCTAAAACTATCATGATGTAATTATTGCCATATTTTACGTTGGCGTAAATTAGCAGAAAAATGAATGAAAAGAACGCATTTATGTTTTTGCCGAAAGGGGTTAACAGATGCATGTTCAACTCAAATTATTATTGATATATTTCATTTCATTTTAGAATTGTTTAAAGATTGTTGTAGGTATCGTTTTAAATAAGCAGAAGGAGAGGTCCTTCGAGAGCAAAGAAAACTAAATAATACGTTAATAATTGCAGTCTGTCCTGCGCTATTTTTGTTTTGATGTCTTGTTGGGCTCACTGTCCGTGGTCTTCTGTTGCTTATCGTGTTAGGGTTGCGTTGATCAAACACCGCCCTTTTTCGATGATGTCGTTTTTCATATCTTAGTTTCACTGAATCTGTTCATGAGAAATGATGATATTTATGTATTAAAATTGACAACAATAAAAGCCCACTCTTCGTGATACTTACTATACATAATAATCTATTGTAGTATGAATTATCTCAAAATGTAAATAAATCGACACATCATTTAACTTTTTCTGTCATTACACAAAATTACACACAAATTACACACAAATAAGTAATACAGATTTAACTGTAAATCATCTAATAACAAATAGTCGTTCTTTCAGAACTAATAAGTAATAAAAAGTATTTTTAATGAGAGGAATCAATATAAAACCAAAATGCCATACCGTGTGTCATGTGTCGCCTTTTTTCAATCTTTAAATTACACAACCTGAAATCAAATTTATCTTACATCTTATAAAATGTAACAAACGAATTTGCTGCGTTAGTTTGCATTATGTGAACCTCTGATATTATATATCATCCTTAGATCTGATGCTTTCAGTTTATATTTATATGATTTTCATATTGTTAATCAAAATAATTCATATCAATTTATTATTGTTATCCATCTACCCTCTTTTCTTTTTTCGAGTCAAAGACATACATACTTTGTCGTGTCAAATCAATTTTGTTCTTCGTCCAGCTTATTTACCCTATGTTACAAAGTTTTGTCAAATTTTAACATTTGGTTGTGTGAAATAACGATGTCATTATACATTGTTGAGTACAATACATATTCTTTGGACTAGTAACTAGCTGCAGTCTATATTAGCCTTGTCCAATGTAGTTTTGACCGCTGTGTAGAATTCAGCATGTATAAATACCTTATAAAATGTTACACTAAAAATATAACAATCATGTATATTAATTGTTACGTTAGCTTTTCAATACTGCTTCTGTGCTTCATTTTGCACATCAATTGAACATTCTTTCTTTTAATTCAAGGAAAATTTAAGCGTTGTATTTTTTTGTTAACATAACAAAATCAATTTGAACATATTTCTAAGTGCATTTCTAATTAGCCCTTTCATGTTCAAATTACTCAAAGTATCGTGCACTTACAAGACTTCATACTCAAGGACCATTTCTGACTGAGAATAAAAACCTCACACAAACCTTTCAGAAGTCTTTATTAAATTACGAGATTGTCTATTTCTTAATTTTCTTGTTATGATGCACGTGCGTGTTAAGGAGATGGGCGTTATGTCTGTTATAGTTGATGAGAGCATCAGAATGTCCATACACCGTAATTCCATTATTTAATGTAAATAAAAAATATGCAAATACACTTTTCCATAGAAATGAAATGAATGTACAGTTTGGCACTAGCGGATACGGGGTTCAATCTACATTAATTGTTTATAAAACAAAGTTTCATGCAAGCAAATGCAAAGCAGTATCAAAGATTATTTTAAAAGGTAATACCTTGCATTTGTTGTAATATGCTTTGCTTTTGCATGAAAAGGATAAAATAAGTACTCCTAATGGGGTACTCCTAATGGGGACGTTGTCCGTAGTTTGCATATAAATTTACTCTATATAGCTACTATTTGGCTTCTTATCAACATAGCCTCAATTCGACTTAGCATCTCTTCTATCATTTAGACAATTTGTCAACAGTTCTGATGAGCGAATGAGCATGTTTTATTGTCTACTAGTAAATTCATATGTTGCCATTTTTTGTAAAGGTTTTAAAGCCTAAACTATACATTTTAAAGTGTTCCTCCTGTCCGATATAAACACTCTTCATTGACAAAGCGTTATCCTTTTTCTCTGAAATCTTTAAAATAAACAGTATGGATTTTATAGTATTATCTTTTATCATCTAGTACTTTATTCTTTCATTCACAAACAAATGATACAAAAAGCTCTGCGAGCTTTTCACTACAGTAGAAAGCACCAACACAAATTTCTCTTGTGATTTCATGTAAATCAAAAGTAAGTATCACGCAAATTAGTTGGCACAAGTCATGAGGACAATCTTGCGAAGTTAATACATCATTTACAGTGTGCTCTAATAGAATTCCTGTGAACTGATACGCTTGTCGTAAGACAAACACTGTAATCTTTTTATGCAGATAAAATGAGAATTTACAGCAGTTTAGCTGGCAACCATGGATATTTTGGTGCAGTTTGATGTGTCATATGTTCATGTCACTCAGTACACATCTTATTCAGGGTTGCCATGACCCATTTTCACATATAATATAAAGTGTATATGTAAGCAATATCGCACTCTATGCATTTGAACAGAACTTTTTTTTCAAATAATTATTTGTGTTTTCAACAGAAGTTTTCAAACCTGACTTTTCAATATTTTCATGTTTTATATGAAAGGGTGTTGATTTAGAACTTTTTGAAGTTGAAAACATTTATAAAAAAGTCATTTAATGAACAAAAAGATCCTTTTCGAGGAACATACGTTACTTAATCATTGGACCAGTTTTGGTACGTTTTTGATGGGACACAAATTAATGTACTTAGATGTAGATAATATATGTGTTCATATGGAGATTAGTTAGCATTCTACAAAATACAATGATTCTACAATTGAATGACATGCAACTATTGTCTAGCATTTCTTTTTTTATTTCAGGTTAGAATATTTAATCAGTGGAAACAAGTAATAGACGAAAGCCAATTGTTTACAAGAAATCAATTTTATTCATTGACTTTAATACAAGACTTGCCATGAAACAACTGAGTGTGACAAGTAGCTAACATGTCTTCATTACCATATTAGAATAATGACGAAGAAGGAAAAACGCAAGAAACTTCAACCAGAAAAGACAGACCTAGAAGTGAAGGATGTTGAAAAAGAAACACCCAAAACGGAAGGAAAAAGTAAGAGTAGGAGTCGATCACGAGGAAGGCGTTCATTGTCGGCTATTTTCCGCAAGTCTAGTTCAAGAACAGAAAGTAACGATAGGTCTAATCTTCTTATAAATGAGGAAGCGGGCCAGGAATCTGCATCTGATATAAATCCACGGATTAATCCAAGGGATTATTTAAAAAGAATGACAGTTCGTGAAGCATTAGTATATGACCGCCATCGAGGAAGATCCCCGAGTCGTAGAACTAGAAAGTTAGAAAAGAAAATTTTACATAATGAGGCCCGATTATCAAATGACAATCTCTCTGTGTCTCTTCCACATCTTGATCATTTATCTGAGGACCAATCGCATGAACCAGCAGCATCATTTGTGTCTTATGATGCCAGAGGCGGGTCAACTCTTCCGCGTATTAAGAAAAGACGTGGCCATTCAGATGGTAGGGATGCTCAACAAAGTGATTTTCAAAGCTCAAACATTTCCAATATAAGTAAACCTGTTCAAATTCTCCCTTTAGATAAACGAAAATACCTTATTAACAAAGATATATATATTGATGAAACAAATATTCCTCAAAACATTAATCTTGGTGTAACAAACGATACGCATTCCAATAAAAACGATAATCGAATTCCCGATGAATTATCCGAAAATGAAAAAAGAAGACTGGAAACGCATAATATGTTTTTATCTCTTCGGGATAACAAATCAGCACATACACATTCACATTTAGCCTTAGAACAAGTCAGTGATGATTTCATAGATGGGAAACCGGATACAACGGCATTGACTATATTGCACACTACTTCTGCAAATTCAAATGTTGAAATGTCGGACAAATTAAACAAAAAAAGAACAGTAGAAAGTTGTCAGGTTGATAACAATCATACTTACCAGAATGACATTTCACGCGAGTGTGGTTCGCCCAAAAACGTTAATGCGGATTGTGCGGATATTGAAGCACCTGTTTTTGAAACACAAGCAAATAAGACTGAAAAGAAAAGACGGTCATCATATATTTCACCACGACGATTCAGCAGAACATCAAGAGCAAGTGTGACTTCAAACATATCCGACTCGAGTAATCGCTCATTACCCGCTGATTATAAGCCACAATATTCAACTGAACCCCAAAAGGCGCAAGTAAAATACCAAAGACATTTTAGCAAAGAAAATAAAAAAGATAAACAAATTATTGAAGATAGAAATGAAAAGCAAAATCATCATCAGCAAATGATAGATGCAAGCACAAGTATGGATAGGCTTTCTTTATTTGCTGAGACAGATAACCATCAAAACCACAATATAAAATTAAAGAAAATAGTGCCTGACGTGATTTATGAACCAGAAGATACCACGATTGAAGCCCAAATAGATAAAAATATGTGCCAAAGTTTGGCACACGAGAATGAAATACTGAAAAATAATAGCTCCGCTTTAGAATGTATTGAAGATAAATGTGAAAATTTGAATAAAGTGCAGTCACTTCAGCGTGAAATAATTGTAATCGACACAAATGTCGAACAAAATATTCAAACCCATGACCATGAAAGTGCATTTAGACCTATTAGATCTGACACTGACTTATATGTACAGGATACAACAAACAGCGATAGTAACAAAGGTAATAAATGTCATCATATTGGATTTGATATAGGCGAAATTGAGGTATTATCATCCGATATTGTAATTGAAAATGAAAAACATGTTGACAGTAGCTTCATAATAAATCATAAAGCAAAGAAAGACGTCAAGAAATCAAAAGATGAATCAGAGGATATAAAGAAAGTTACGGAGAAGGATACTGAGAAAACTGAGAAAGACTCCAGAAAGTCTTGGTCAGGTAAAAGTAAAAAGGAAAAAAGAAAATCTAAAAAGAAATTAGAAAAGGAAAAACATAGGAAAGAAAGCGGGAGTAGCAGCAAAACAATTGAATGTGTGGAAAATGAAAACGTTCCAACACATGGAGATTTAGATAAAACGATTAAAGATGACGGGAAATCAAAATGTTCTAAAAGTAAAAAAAGAAAAAGTATTCTCAAAAGACGTTCAAAAGAAAACAAATCTTTAAAAGATAGTATTAAACCCATTACTCGGACAGCATCATTAAGTCAGTTTGTTGACGAGTGTGAAGGAAAGGAAAGACGGAAAAGCGTTTCAATATGTGAAAAACGATCTAGATCCATGGATGATTTAACTAAAGGCATAGAAATTTTAGATAAAGACAAGGCAATTGTTAAACATAATGTTTCAAAGAAAACTGATAAACCCGCTGAAACCAAATGCAGCAATAACACCGACTTAAAAGACGTTAAACCACCGAGACTTTCTATAGCTGCAATAGTTGCAATTAGAGCTAAAATATCTCGTATGAAAAGAGCAAGACAGGAACATGCTAGAAACAATGCGTGCAATGGTAACAATGATTCTGAATCTAAAGTAGAAGATAGTACTCCCCACAATGATCACCATGAATCTAATGAAAATACAGATATGAGCGTAGCAAAAGTGTTTTATGAAAATGAGATTAATACAAGTCTTGGTAAATCAGACAATTCTATTTCTCTCATCGAAGATGCTGACAAAGAAGTTAAAGATCTTGTTTATGATAAGAGGATTAGTTTTTCACCATACTGTGATGATACAATATCTGAGGAGGAGATGATAAAACAACGTCAAAGAAATACAAGGTTAACTTCTAGACGCGAAAGTAAGGTCAGACAGCGTCAAAAGAAAGTAATAAATTGTTGTAAGAAAGGCATTGCCTTCCTTTTTTCACATATAGGATTATGCTCTCTGGTTGTCGGTTACTGTATTTTAGGAGGAATCATTTTTAAGGCATTAGAAGGAGATAACGAAATTGAACAAAAGAAAGAAATAAAGGAGTTAAGACAAAATTTTACAGAAAAAATCTATAGGCTTGCCTTTGAGCAAACATTGACTAAAGGTAATCGAGACATCTTTATGAATGAAGTTAACTTGATATTAAAGAACTTTTCAGTGATGATACACAAACAAACAAAAGAAGCAGGATGGGACGGTAAGGAGGTTAAAATGACGATGAATACTGACGGCGAAGAATCAATGGAGCCTGAACCCGAGCAATGGTCATATCCTAGTTCCCTTTTATACGCCATAACTGTTATGACCACGATAGGTAAGACCACATTACTAGATTTTAAGTTTTAAAACATCATTTACAATAGATGTTTAAGTCAATAAAACCATTTAGCATTTCTTGTCTTCTATTTCGCAAAAATAATATTGATTTTGATAAATTGACCAAATACAAATTACATACAAATATTTGAAATATTTTATTTAAAGTATCTTTTCAGTTGCATAACCTTTTACTTTCATATTAATATGTACTCTTTTGTTTGAAGATTTGCAGTCAATAACAAAACATTTCGAACTTTTTTTCAACGCATTGATATTTGCTATGAAATACTACTTTTAACAACGATGTTTTAAGGTACTTTGTTGTGCCCGATCAGAAGGAAAGTACAGGTTTATAGAGTACAATTTCCTGGAAACAAACTGAGCTGCTTTAATCAGCACCTTGTTAATAAACTTCATGTTAGAATTACCGAAACAATAAAAAAGATTTAAGGTTGGGATAATAAATTAAATATGATCTTAGGATAAACATTAAACAAGAGTTTGATATTCTGCATATTTCCTTTGAAGTGTGTTATTTTATGAAGATTTATGATGTAGAAAAATGTAACGATTTCTAAGAAAATTATTATGCACTTTGATCCTGATTAACCTTAAATATAATTATCCATCATGATATCTTAAACCAAATTCAAGAATATTAATTTTAAGTTGTCACTTTTAAAAGAAATATGTGAAAATCTTGTTAATACAATGACTCTCGCTAATTACGTTTGATGCAACAAACTCGTTTGAGTTCCGTTAAGCCCTGGCCCAGGAATATGGTTCTATGAATGATATATATATCTCAATATAGAGTGACTAAATAAATAAAATTGTCGCAAAACCTTTTGCATGAATTGTGTAGGATAATAACATTTATGAAACTATGTAAGATGTATACTAACAATGTGTACACTGTTCACTTGAAAGATGGACATGGGCGTTGAAATATTTAATGAAAATCTTACTAATACCAATAATTACTAAGGTTACTGAACATTTGATATTGTTTTAATCCATGCACGTTTTTGCCCTTGGCAACGAGATATAACTTTAATAAAAAATCAAACAAGTTAAGCCCATCAACTTCATTAGCTCGACGTGTAAACAACATCACAAAGTACGAGGCTTTTATTGTAAATGTTTGATTACTTTTTTTCTTTGAAGAGGGAGTATCAATAGAAGCAAGTTTTCAAAACTCCTTCGGTAAATGAAATTTAGATTAGAAAACTCATGTAATCCGAGTGCTTATGTGTAACAAAGTACTTAATGCCTCAAAAACCGTCTGTACTCCCCGCTGAATCGTCTTGAAAGGCTGTTCAAACCACAAAATGTAAGGTAGCGACTGTTTGTATAACGGATAAACGGATAATGGATGTACCTTTCTACCAAAAGCGGACATTGTATTCAAGTATTGCTTTTACCACACACAATGCATAGGACTTTTCGCTATTATATCAATTATATGCAGTAACATCTTACAACAGTTCAAAAGTTAAGAATACATTATACCAGTTAGAAATATGAATTAATATAGAAGAAATAAAAAAATTAAGAACGTCTAACACTGCAAGAAATGATATGTTGCAAAATAATTTCGACATAGCCTGTTCAAGGCGGTAGTAGTTACGTATATTTACATGCACCTAAGCACCAGTCAAAACTATTTCGGCATTTAAATATGAAATGTTGAAGATTAAGAGTATTGGTACATGAGGTATTTATCATGGATCCTAAAGTGAGTATCTTTGGTGTCATTCAATCAAATGGTATGATCTACAACATTTTGAATACAAGATGCAATACATGTTTTGTTTGTGGCACTGGTATAGGGTAACCGCCACATCTTTGCACACTGATGACCGACTTAATTCTATATTAAAAATTGGTAGTCTCTCAATATGAGTCAGCTGAGGATTGAATAAATATATGTGATATTGATATGTTTCTAGATTGATATGTCAGTATATTTATTGACAAAATTATGAATAAACGAACGCAATTTTAATGCCGTATAAGTGCAAAGCTCAGCACAATTTGTGTAAAGTAAAACCGTACCGATTTCATTGTTCTCCATACATGTTCATATACGTAATAACGTTCTTCCAGTAAACAAACTACATCAATAAGGTTCTGTTATAATCATAGAGTTTAATTAGCCATGTATTTTTTTCACTGTTTACACCTTCAAGTAGTAGGATTGTGATTTGTAGACAAATTACAGCAATAAAAAGTCTGGATTTTGAAACCTACTTGGCAGTTGCTGACTCGTTTCTGTCTTTCTGAAGCTAATATAACCAGTAGTGTATTAAGCTCTCTTTTGTTTTCAAAGCATTGTAAAGCAGACATTACTATTCATTAAGCTTTAACTGTCAGCAAATTCATAGTTAATGCCAATCATGATGAAATAGAAGCAAAGCTGCTGGGATCGAATTTAAATCTGTCGACCGATATCGTGCATTTTCTACCCTCCCTATCTTTTTTTTAAAAAAAGCCAAACTTTAGTCTATTGCCAAGGTAAAAATGAATGTGAATGTAGGTCTAGGCAAAAAAACAACAAATGTAGGTCTTCAAAATAAATTCCTCGTGTTTGTTTGATTAGAAATGTTTCTTTTTCCTATGAGTCTTTTCTGGAAAAGATATTGATACATGAAACATAAATGTTCATGCTTTATAGATATAGAGTATAGATTTAATAATTTATTGCACTAGTTGAACTAAATCATAGTATGCGAGCCTCTAGTGAGCATAATATTGCATCATTCAACTAGTTCAAAAGATTTAGAATTGAATCTACACAAATATAAAGTCTTTTTAATAGAATCAAATATCTAAAAAAAAACGGAAAAGAAAACAGATGACGAGCTTATAGTGTAATACTAATATTGGCGCACTTTAACGCTATGTTTGTATTATATGCAAATAGCGTCACGTAAAAGTGTTATAACACTTTTGTAATATCGTTTTAGTTAAGATGGGTTGATACACTTCTGCGCCCTGGTTTATGTGATACAAGTATTGGCAACATTGTGATATATAAATATATATACAATAAAAATTCTTTAATCAGCTTATGCAAGCGAAAATTCAATACAAAGTAAACAAAAAATAATCAAAGTTTTATCTTAAAGAATTACTTTATTTTCAAATATCATATGTTCACAAGTAACAATATTTCGAATTGTGCATATTACATAGAGGATATTTGTTTGTTTTGCATGTAAGATTGAAATATAATTTCACTGAGTGAACACCAGATGAAATATTTTCACGAGTGGCGTAGCCACGAGTGAAAATATAATACCTGGTGTTCACAAATGAAATATATTTCAATCTTATATGTAAAACAAATAAATTTTCTTTTTATTTCATGCTTTTTGAGTGATTTGAAGTATATTTTATTGATTTTGCCGCGTAACGTCACGCATTCTCCTTTGTGACGTCATCACATCATGACGTCACATGATCGATTTTGAAATATAGTTCTGTTAAAGTTCTCTAACTTTGTTACATTTTTACCATGATTTATAGTGACATCGACTCTCTTTTCCCAAAGAAGCAAAATTTACGTATGACGGCATTTTTTTCTGCCTGTTATTCCATTTAATCATGATATTCTTTTAATTCGCATTCAGATATAGTCCGGCTACAGTGAAAATTATATTTTATAAATTTCACTAGTGGTTTATCAGAATATAATCATCTGATATATTACAATAAAACACTGGAAAGCATGAAATAAATATATTACATCCAACAATTATCTAAATATATAATTATCTAAATCACCTTTTTCTGTGCGTTTGATTGTTCAAACCATTTGAAATTGCATATGCAATCATCTACAAAAATATCTAAACGCAAAATCACCCAACACAATCCTGGTTAGACTTTGATTAGTAATGGTTAGTAATGATTTATAGGACAAGACATTTATGATATACATGACTTGATTAAATTAGTAAACTTACTACCAAGAAAAAAAGAATTACATGAAAGACGATTATACGTCTGATATTTGCATTTATTTCATGGGTTCTTGTATTCAAAGAGCCTCGCCGAGTACTCGAAGCACTTTCTACAAAATCTTGACATAAGTCGGTTACAATTCATGGAACAATAGTGAGTAAATATATCATGTCTAAAACTCTGCGTACTACAAAAATTGTTTTAACATTCTTTCGGAATGTCGATAATTGTACAACAGACATTTTTATTGTTTCAAGTTATTCGTCTGTACATACTTTGGACTTCAAAACCAGTCCTGCCAAGAAAATGCTGTAAGCTTAGAAATTCCTCATCCAAATGTTCAGGCTTTTTGTTTTTTAAGATATCGCAAGGAAAAGAAAATTCATTGTAGAAGTACACTTGTTATTACTAATGTGTACTTTTTACAAAATGTTGATCCATGCACTTTGCTCTCCATTTGTAATATATTTTACTATATATTTACGTTATTTAATAACGATTTCAAAATCTGGTAAAAAGGTGTGCCCTCAGAAGCGAAATCATAACATAATTAAATAGAGGATATTTGTTTAGTTCAGTGTAAGATCGGAATATATTTCACCGAGTGAGCACCAAAAGGTATATTTCACGAGTGGCGCAGCCACGAGTGAAATATGAAATTTTGGTGTTCACAAGGTGAAATATATTTCAATCTTACACTAAACTAAACAAATTTTCTTTTTATTACATGCAAAGAATCGTTTTAAAAAGACATTTAACCTAATACTGAATGAAAAGCGCGGCAAATAATAATACAACGTGACGTCATCTACGACGTCACGTCATTAAGTTGGTACCCAGTACTGTGCACGCTGGTATTTCACTGAAACAACGTAAGGGGCTTAAATTCAAAACAGTGAAATTATCAAAGTGGTAATTTCACTGTTTCAAACAGTGAAATTACCAGTTTTATATCACTGATATATTTCTATAAACCACCGAAAAGCATGTAATAAATGAAAATTGCACACTCGGTTTGATTGAGTC